TCTCATCTGTAAAATTGAAGGCTGAATGCGGCAATCCACGAGGTCTATTTTAGGTCCTCATCTTCTGGAATTTATATGGGAAAACCTCTAATCCCCTAAAACCCCAGCATAGATCTTGGAAAGCCTCACTTTCCAGAATCATGTGCCACCACCTCCCACCAATGTACTACTTCATGGCCCTACGCACAGTTTACTGAATGCTCTCTTTCTCCAGAGGACCACATCCTCCACAGGGCTGTTCATCATTTCCTCCCTCGCTTAGCACAGTGCCTGGCACAATCAACCCTTGTTGCATGAAATTAAGGCTGGATCAAATTCTTCCTCTGTCTCATATGCACAGCCATCCAGCTAGTCTAGAGCCATGTAGATAGTTAAAAATTAACTAGTACCTTGCTCTTCCAAAAAATAAGCCAACCTAAAGGAGTCACAATCGTTTATATTTGCAGTGTTTTTCAATCGGTTGTGGTGTTTTCCTGTCACACTGGGACTGCACAATGGTACTAGTAAACCGTTGGATGAATTCATGTGTGCTTTTAGCTCTTTCAAGGGTAGAAACAGGCCCTGTATTTTTTGTTTGTTTGTTTGTTGTTTTTGCTGCCCCCAAATCAAGGTAGGAACTCAGTAATATCTGCTAATTGACAAAGTAGCAGGGCTGCCGTTGAAACAATTAGGATTATATTCTGAACCTTGAATCTGAGGGTCATGAGTGAATTAAAGCAATGCTTTAATTAGGGACTTGTTCACTTATAACAGAATGTCTAATTAACAGTACTTAAACAAGGGGTTGGGGAGCTGTTTTTCTCTCATGTAATAAGAAATCTGGAGATAGAATGTCTAGGGTTGGTACAGCTGCTCAAGGATGTCAGGTCATTGCCTTATTGTTGGCTGCTAAAGATGGCTGCTAAAGCTCCAGCCATCACATATGCATTTTAAGGAAGAAAAAGAAAAAAAAATTAGAAACTTTCTGGTAGCCCCACCCAATAACTCCAAGATTGTATGTTATGGCCACCCCTTGCTGAAGGGGCACCAAGAAACATAACTTGCTCCTCAAACACAGATAGATTTCTGTTAGTAAGGAAGAGGAGAGGAGGGATATTGTGTAGGCAACTAACCACAGTTCCCTCTTGGTTACTCAGACATACCCTTCTTTCCATGCATGGGATAGACTCCCCATTCCCAAGGAGAAGGCACCCAAGCCTCATCCAATTAGCATATCAAGATGAGAGCCCTGGATCTCTGGGAAAGGATCTCTGGCCCTCTCCATCAGTTCTGGATATAACTCCTTATAAGCAAGCCCTGACACTTCCAACATGCAATACTGGGACAGGTATAGCATAACTACCATAAAAACTCCCATTTATAAAAGGAGGGGAGGAAAACACAGCAGTCGCTGCCTTGGGCGCGAATAGCAAGAGCAACCCCTCACTCCTGTGGCAGGAACGCCTCTCCTTGCTCCCTGTGGCCCTTGCCTCTCTCTGGGAGGCTATTCCTTTTTCATTGTCTACCATGGCCACTTCTGCGGTGAGCATGGGAAGGACACTCTTTCCAGGGGCCGTACCCATGGCCAGCCTACTTCTTGACGATGTGAATGGCCAGGGAGAGGGAGGGAGAAGAAGAGTTGTGAAATTACTACCAGGGTCTAACCATCCCAGACTGTTGAAAACCAGGTTTGGGTATTTGGGCAATATAATCCCCCCACAAACTGAGTAGGCTTCTGGGCAATCCCTGATGATTTGTTTCCTTTCCTTTCTAGCTTATGAACTCTACCCATCTCCCTAAATTTTAACTTAACACATGCTACTTAATGTGTGCTGCTGAGCAGTTGGAACAATGGCTTCCAGGGAGTAATCACACTTTGTAAGCAGAAGGCTTACCACCTCTGCCTTGTGGGTCACCACCCACCCCCTTCTGATAAAGCTGGTTTTCTTAGCCCTGCAAGGGTCTGAAGTGGGGGCCTATCAGGTAACTTAGATTACAGGCTGAATGTCAAGAGTGCCTTCCTTAGAAAAGTGATATTTCTTTCATCTCCTTTGTCAGTTGAGTTGAGGAACTCTAGAGTTTGCTGGGAGTGACAAGTCACCTACCAACATTCTAAAATGTTCCCATCATCTTCTCTAACACCACAGCCTCAGTCAACACGTCAATGACTTTCCAAAGCACAGCAGTTGGCAGTGTCACCAAATATTTTACATCACATAGCTAGGGTCACTTTCCAGTCTACAATGTCCAAACCCTTGGCATCTGCCTCCCTCCCCTCCCTTGCTCACCCAATTTCACGTTTTAGGTTCTGTTATCTTCAATTCCCCCACTTCTAGGTACCACATTATGTTACTTGTTTGGAGTTTAATTAAGCTAAATGGTTGGATTTTGAAAAATCCAAATAACAATGATTAAACAACATGGGGATTTATTTTTCCTTTCATTTCTGCTCTTCTCTCAAGGAATGCTGGTATAAGTCTCATCCAACAGTTTCCACTTCCACCTCATTGGCCAGAACTATGTTGTATACTATTCATACCCCCGAGACAGTCTGGGGTTTGGTTGAATACATCACCATGCCAAATAAAATAAAGGAAGAATGAGAATGGATATCAGGTAGACAGCCACCAGCTTCTGACACAAGCTGCCTGTCTATTTAATTTATTTATCATAACCTGGCCCTTGGTGGCCCTGGAGTGGGGATTACCAGGTAGGGGGCCAGCCTGGGTAAGTCAGGTATGAGTTTAGAAAGGTGAGATTGTCAGAGGCAGGCATGCAACATGCTGATGCATGGGGGAGCACAGCCTAGTCAGGTGGGTCTGGGTAAGAGTGCTAACTCTGTTATTTACTGTGAGACCATGAGCAAGTTAATTAGCCTCTCTGGTTCTGTTATTTATCCGAGCCTTTAAAAGGGGGATACTGACAATATCTTCCTACAGTATTGCTGTGGCAATTAAATAAAGTAATCCATGAGTAGTGCTCATTTAGAGCAGTGTTTATACACAGTTATGCTCAGAAAATGTTAGCCATTAGCCAATATTGGTAAAATGGGGTCAGATGGCCTTGGTTTTATTATTATTATTATTATTATTATTATTAGTTTCAGGTATACAAAACAATGTACTAATTGTGAGACATTTATACCCCTCACAAAGCGTTACCAC